AACTAAAATTAACATTTAATCATCTAAAAATCATTAGCATAACCGGTTTAATCCCACCCCCACCCACGAGTCCGTTACTTTTTTTTTTTTTGAACGCAGAGAAAGCATTGCATTACAACACCGCCATTACGGCATCTACAGAAAATCTTATCCACGGGATAAGAGTAAAAAAACAACCAGAGAGAGTACAGCTGGAGAGTAAATTTAGAGTAGACCCAATTGCAGTGGCAAGGAAGGGAGGTGAACAGTGCACCCGGACAACCTCAAAGGAGCAGATTACCGGATCTTCTGGTCGAACATCCAGATAACTTGACACCCTTCAATCTACTCGTGTAGGAGTGGCGCTTAGTCTCCAGGACACCGAGGCGGGAAGCCAAACCGGCGGTGGCCACCAGATCTCGGAACCCAGCAACCACCACGGTAGATCCGCGTGAGGGTTGGACGGCCACCGGATCTGAGCACAAACGAACCAAACAAACAGAAAAACAAAAAAGAAAAGAAAAGGACCACCAGAAGGGATCCCAAAAGCCGACAGATCACCCAGGGGTCATCGGAGCAGGGAGCACGTAACCGGCTCCAGGAGGCTTGAGCAGCCGGAGAGCCAGGCAGCTCAAGCGGCAAAACACTCAGAAAGCCCAAGGACTTTCGAGTTCAAAAAAGGAGACGCTGAGTGAGGGTACGTAGAAACTGGAGAAAACGGTGAGAGAGAGATGAGGGGGGGTGACCCGCGAGTCCGTTACTAAAAGTAAGGCAAGGTGGGTGTGTCAGTGCCACTTTTGCCATTAATTTTGTCACGTGGAGTACTGGTTACTGTAGTACTGCAATTTAAGTTAAAGCCGTCCACGTTCTATAATCTTTCAAGTAACACGACAACAAAACAACGTTCATTTTTGCAGAGAACAGTGCAAGTGGCTTTCTTTTTCTCATTTAAGCCTAGAGAGGTAGAACTGAAATCTATGAGTATCCCCATCTCTTAGCATTTTTCTACACTTACCTTCTGTTGTTAATTGGAATCTTCATTAATTAATTTCTAACTTAACCTTATATTTTTTAAGCTTAAAATTTCTTTTTAGCCTTTTTTTTTTTTTTTTAAGTCTCTTGTTAGGCCCTTTACTTACAAAAATTCATTTTTCATTCTTAAAGTTTAAAATTTGACTCTTTTTTAGTCCATCTGTTATTTTTTTTTTTTTGCATAAATATCACATTAAATAATGAAAATTTTAACATAGAGGGATTAAAAAAAGATTTTTTTAAGTAGAATGATAAAAAAAAAGATTTTTTTAATTAGAATGATAAAAAAATATTTTTTTAAGTAGAGAAACCAAAAAAGTTTTTTTTTTTAAGTAAAAGAACAAAAAAAGTTTATTTTTTATCTTTTTATTTTAAAATTTCTATCATTTAATGTGTTGCATATGCAAAAAGTAATAAAAGTACTCAAAAAAGGCAGAATTTTAAATTTTAAGGATTAAAAATGAGTTTTTTAAAGTAAAGAAACTAAAAAGAGATTTTTTATTAAAAGTGGAGGGACCAAACTGAGATTTTAACCTATTTTTAATTAACTACACTGCTGGTACTTTGGCCGTTATTTGCAAAAACACCATGCCTGTGGTCTTATTAACGTTAATTTTCAGACTAATTAATTTTCTTATCTGCTTTTCAGCTTGTTTTAGGATGAATTAGATTTTGTTTTTATTATAACGGTACTCAACCATTTCATTTACTCATCATGTAGGAAATCTTTCAAAATTGTTAACTTGATAATTAGATTTTTAGATTAATGATTTCAAATTTATAATTCAAATCTAAAAATGGACAATTATGTCATTTAGTCTTTGTGTTTTGATTTGAGTCAATTCACATTTAGCAATAATCTCTTTTCTTAACCAAATAGTTAAATCTATTAAACTAGTTTCATAATTTATTAAGTCTATGTTTGGATAAAAGTTAGTAAAGGACAGGAAGGGGAGGGGAGAGGAAGGAAAGAGAGGAGAAGTGAAGGGATAGAAAGAATTGATATTAATTTTGTTTAGATAAGTAAAAGTGAAGGAGGAGAAATGATAATGTTTTTATTTAATTAAATATTTTAATAAAAAATAAATTAAAAAGGATTTTTTTTAATTTTTTACTAATTAAATAAATAATTGAAATAAAATTTTTATATATTTATTTATTTTAAAAAAATTAAAAAATTTAAATAAATTAGGTGATGTAATCTGTCTCAATTTCTTTAAATAAAAGAGATTAAAAACAAAAGAGATGAGGGAAAGGGACTCCGTCTTCCTCCATCTCCCTTCCCTCCATTAAAATTACCTATTTAAACAGGAGAATGTGCTCTTTTCTCCTCATTCTTCTCTCATTCCCCTCCAATTTCTTTAATTCAAATAGAGTGTAAGTGCAGAGGTTAATACATAAAAAAATTTAAATTATCTTACATATACTAAGGATATATACACTTTTAACATTGTCAAAGGTT